GTTTAGATAGGTAAGAAAAGCCACAATTTAATTTAAAACATGAAGAAAAAGTACTTACATTGTAAACAGAAGAAAAATTGAAACTCAACATTGTCACTTTCGGGGACCACCACTTCACCCTTCCTCTTTCTACCGTGTCCCGACCAGTCTCTCTGTCCCTCTTCCCACCTTTTTGTTTTTTGGTTTTACGATCCTTTGTCTACATTTCTTATTCCTCTTTTACAACTATATGCAAATGAATAGCACATGGACCGACAAAACCGCATCTGAGGGAGGACGCGGTGGTCCAATATCACTACATTTGCGTTTGCGCGTTACGTTCGGTTTCGAGTGTAACACATTAATTCAACACATCGCGAGCGATCGACCAAAATTAGCTTCGTGATCGACTTGTTGGCCACCCCTGATATACAGTATACAAATTTGCAAAAATAATGGTATACTACCACAGTTCACTCTTGTGTTACAATGGAACAGAGACAACACTACACTAGTTCACACTACAATCAGTGTTGCTGAATCATTGTCTCGCTGCACCAGAAGTGACACAAAGTGCAACTCGAAACCTATGACACAAAGCATGCCATTTTCAAACTCTTACAAATTATTTTCAATATTTTGCATTAAAATCTCACGACCCCAAATGGGGTTGTGACCCATAGTTTAAGAAGCCATGTCCTATATTATCTTTTAAAGTTTAAGATTCTTTTGAATTAACCTATTATAAGTAGGTTGGAAATACAAAATCAAACTGTTCTTACCTAGGAACTTATTACCACAAATGCCACCAAAGTGCCAATAAACATGATGTATACCTTACATCATTGACCTATCTTTAAAGTTTGTCTAAGACCTTTCAAATCACCATTTTAAATAAATCTTAAATTTTTTCAAATTTCTCATTTCTAAAATAATAGTCAACTAGTCTTAAAAACAAACACCAATAAAGCGAATTTTGCCATTGCAACAACATTTGTGATAAAGTGAACAAATATTTTACAAAAATTCATTAAACTGAACTGTAAATTACCTTCACAACTCCCAACAAATAATCCTATATCTAAGAATGATTTTATTATTCATGTTGAAAAGTATATATATATAAAAAGTACTGTAATAAATGTTCTACGTATTTTGAGTAGAATAATTTTCTTCTTCTAGTAAGCAAAGACTGGCTTTAGTGATCCATTTTATGTACTCAGAAAATGGATTATAAGTTTAAGGACTTAATTAAAAACCTTTAAATGGATGCGGTCTCATGCAAATGTGTGTCAGTTTGCATATTGGGGAGTGCATACAGTGATGCCAGATTTGGCGATAAAAACTATTTTAGACTTTTTCGAACAAAAAATCATTGATTTCTTTGTAATTCCTTTCATCCATTGGTTCTTTTTATATTTAATATTTTAAAGACAAAGTTCATAGATATAAAGCTGAAACACCCCAAGAAGGTTAGATGGTATCAAGAAGACATTCGTATGTCACCAGATCCTATTTTAAAAAATTTTTTGTATTTTTTAATTGGAAAGTTTTTGTTTTTTTTTAAAGAACTTTTTAGCGTTTTGGCAGCTAGTAGCCTAAAAAGGAAGATCGGTTGCCAGGATTGTATTGTCTGAAACACAGAACTAATAAATGGTGGTCCCTGATTGGGCAAACTTTGTCTTTAAAATATTAAACATTGATTTCTTTTTACTTTCTTCTGTTTAACCATTCAGACATACCGATTCACATTTAAATGGCAAATACAGTCTTCTTCTCAGTTTGATTTGAAAATCATTTAATCATTAATTTTATTTAACTTTATTATTAAATTACAGTAGAGCATCGTTTATCTGAATCAATTGGGGATTGGGGTTGTTCGGATAACTGATTATGTACAAAAAAATATATTAATTTATCCCATGTTGAAATTTTTCTCTGTTGTGTGTCACTTCGCGTTGAATTTTCGTCGATGTTAAGCCTAACGTAAACATTTTAAAATAATAATCATGGCTATTGTATCATTAAAAATTATTTCTTTATTTTTTGCAAACAAAATAAATATATTGAAAAATATAAAAGCAAAAAAAATTATACTTTAGAAGTTAATCTAGTATCAAAAACGTCTGATTCAGCACAACACACAGTCCTCAGAAAAACACTACACAAAAGTGCCAGTGCTGCCAGCTAAAACACACACACCAACAAAAAAAATGTTGAAGTAGCCCAAGATATAGCCAAAAATTGCAGTGCCACAGCACTAGCAAAAATTTAAATTTGCCAACTGGAATTATTTCGAATAAATGAGGTTCTATGGCAGGGGTGGCCAAAACATGGCGCATTGGACGAGTACAAGTGGCGCTTCAGTCGGTTCCGAGCAACATTGCCAGATCTGGGTTCATTGCAACTATGAATATTACATAAGAAATNTAATTAAAAAGTTTGAGGAATATTAATTTTTTCAAATTTTTCAAAAAATATTTAATAGTAAAAAATTGACTGAAAATCGCGTCGGGTCTGTCAGACCCATGCGACTAACAGAAGGTTAATTAACTTGATTGTGGTTAATTTTTAATGATTCTATATCCATAAAGAGAATATCTGTTGAAAATATTTAAGGCCTAATATTCATGCACAGAAATGGATGATGAAATCTGTCAACAAAAGCATAAAGTGATGCCACTTTTACTGCCAAAAGCCAACAAAATACAAAGTTGAAAGTTCTTAAATTATTGTTCAGAAAGCAGAACAAGAAAAATTACACTGATAGGAAGGCTGTTTAGTAATGAATGCAGCAAGCAGGACAATAACATTTGAATTGTAGTTATCAGCTTGCTTAGAAAGTTGATTTATTCTGTTTATTATCCAAATTAAATATTAAATGATAAAATTGGTCTACTTATAGCAAAAACAACTCGCAATTGTATTGGCAGTCAAAAAGCCCTATAGGTGTAGGTAATATCTTGAGTGATTTCCTCTTTTTTACTGCATTTGTTTTCTGTTTGTAATTTGACTCATAAGTTGAATCTTCTGTATAGTAATTACTCAATTATTTCTTCTTTGATTATTGAAAATAAATTAGAACATTTGAAATAAATAAATGTCTTGTTAAAAATAAATTTGAAAAAGTTTAGTTATTTTTATCTGGGTGAAAATCTTTCCAAAAATGCTCTAAACACATCATCATTCCTGATTTCTTTTTTCCTATTCTTGATTCTATTTTCTGCTTTTTAGATTTAAATCCATTAGAAATTTATGCATTGTAATATCTTTTTATTTCTGTAATTACTTGACCAAAAACAGCAATATTGATGAGATTTTGATTTTGTTACTGATGCCAATTTACACACACAAATAGCACAACTTCATCCCACTTGCTCTGGTTTGCTAGATGTCTGCTACTTTGTTCTTGACTGCCAGTAATCATAATTTGGATACTAAAGTATTTTACATCCATAATATTGATTTGTTTTGAAATATCCTCACTAAAGTTCATCTCTTTAATGTTTGTTTTACCACTGATACAATCAAAAGTAAAAACAGAAAATTTAATTGATACAACACAGCAACATTTCTGCACAGTTTTCTCTCTGACTCTCATTCTGGTTTATATATGTAGGTGATTTTCTGTGGAGCCAAACTGTGGCTCTTCTAGATCCTTACATTACTCCTATATATTGGACTACCCTACCTCTTATTACTTGGAGTAAGGGTATGATTTTGGTGTTACTCCTATTTATATATACATACATTTATAGGCTGTATATAAAATACGGTTCTGTTATAAGATAGTGCTTTTATGTTGTTCTGATGCATGATATATAGTTCCTCGTGACAAGGTTTGGCCATCCCTGATGTATTTGATGTGGAGAGATGGCAATTTTTAGTTTTTCATCACCCATTTCTGCACCTGAGTGCTAATCTTAATTTTATTAATATTACATTGGCTATTATATAAACATTGGAAGCATGTTAGAATAATTTTATTAATTTAAATATATAGGAAAACTGGTAAATTTAAAATTATGAAACTTTTTAATAAAGAACTTCATAGCCTTATATTAGTTTACCAAATAAAAGTATTTTTGTTTTGTAGTTGAATTTTTTTTGTCAATTTTGAAATATTTAATTAGATGATAGCAATTTTTACTAAAGGAAATCATGTTAAAATTATTTAATCATCATGCAAATTAGAAAAGATACATACCAGTATCTAAAAAAATAAATCCACATTAAAACACTCTGACTTCTACACTGAATAAGACATTGTTAAATGTTTATACAAAAAACATTAACAGTGTATACACAGATTATCTAATTTTTAAGTTCACTTTTCATTTAAAGGATATAAATATTTTGTTAAATTTTAAATATTTAAATGTTACTTTCTGCACAGTGAGCTGTTGAACTTTGAGAATTCAATTAAACTCCAGTTATTTTAAAAGGGATTCTGTTTTACAAATCAAAATATTGTTTAAAAAATAAATATTCAAGTTTATTTCCAGCTTATACAATTTTTTAATATAATATAACTCTGGAATATAAGCAAATCAGTCTGTAATAATTGTTTTGTAGATGGTTATAGGAGTGACTTAATCACAAATTAAAATTTTCTATAAATATGCTGTCGAATGAGTAGTTGGAGTACATTAACATTCAAAATCAATAGTTCCATATCCCAAGGTCATAGAGATGATGTATTTCTCTCTTAAGTTTCTCTGAAGTTGGATAAAAATACATCCTTATTTGTATACTTTGTAGTTTTTTTGTACTCGTTAAATAGTATGTTCATATCAGACTTCTGAATTTCGAATAATTATATATTTTATACTTTATTCAAAACAATTGCAAGTGCACTTTCCATAATCATTGTATTAACAATTAAGTAATTTATAGTTGAATTCCTTATAAATTTACAGATAAAAATCTGAAAGAATTGCTGATTAAGATAAATGAATGTGGATATTTCAGCCCCATTAGTAAAAGTGGTACAGCAAATTCCACTGAAGAAAATAAAGAAACTGAACAAGAATTCAATGACAATCCACAGGAAAATTCTGAATTGGTTATGCCTGGAGTCTCAATGGAAGTAAGTGTAAGTTGTTCTGTATGTTGATATGAATACTGAATTTATGTTTATAAAAGTAACTTGTTAGCATAAAATTTTCATTTATTAACTATACATTTAATAGGAAAGAATATATTTACATTAAAGTATATTAAATTTTCCTCATATTGACTACAGGATTCTCAATCCTTTGAAATGTGCTTTTGTAAGATAAGACTTTTTATATATATAGAAAAAGATTATTTTTTCAATTTATATTGATCTGATTTTTACACTCATCTGGTCCAAAATTTATGGTTTGATACATTCTAAAGTTGCACCTTTTATTTTGGAGGAGAATTTTAACTGAGATATTTTATGAGATAATAGATTCTTTTATACTTGTGTGATTCTGTTAATTATTGTTTAATAATAACCTTTAAATTGTTTTTCAAAGAACAATCAATATTAACAAATTTTATATTGCTAAGAAGAAAAACTGTCCTGGCCAGATGGCCAAGTTGGCAGTTCACTTCTCTGAGGGACCCAAAATTGAATCTGGACAAATCAAAAAGCCTCAAGAATTTTTGGAAGTGATCTTTACAGATTTGTGGGCCCTATTCCTTACCAACCAGCCATCTCATTGTGGGCTGAATCAATAATGGGCTTGCTAAAAAAGGTCTCTAGTGCCCACAGGATAGAAAGAGTTAAAAAAAAAGGAGGAAACTGTGAAATATTACAAAATTGTTATTGTATGAAACAATATTATGACATTAAGTATATCAATGAACTAATTGAGCTAATTATTTTTTGTTGTTTAGCAAATTGACATTTCAATTTTGCTATATTGGTTGCTTGGATTATGGTTTTATTAGTTGTAACATTTATAGATAGTAAAATTTAAAAATAAAATGAAATCTCTCAGTTAGCTGCAAAAATTGATTGATTTCAAGGACAAAAAAATGAACTGGCCAATTTAAATTGGAATTATTGTCCATTGAGTTGTTGTGCTAGTGATTTTCAACTGGACTGCCATAAAATGGATTGACAGAAGGCAATGAACATGTGGGAAATCTGCCAAAGAGGAGTGCCACCTGGGAAGACTTTCTATGGGAAATTGGTCCTTATTTAGGCATAAGACATGTGAAGAAAACTTGGAAAACACCAAGAGGCCAGCTCATTAGTTAGGTGCAAAACAATGGCTGATTACCAGTGTTTAGCAGTTTTATCCAGTCACCCATCAGTGGATCCAATGTCATAAAATAGTGTGCTGAGCAGTGCCATAACACTTCTTGTGTGAATTAACAAAAATACTAAAAGCACTGTAACTACATTGATAAAGAAGTTGGGTTGCCACTATTAGAAAAGGGTTCAAAAACGCTATGCCAAGTCACACTTTAATAGGAGAAAACTTTTTAACATATAAGCATTAAATTACAAATAAACGTCACTAAATTGACAAACGCTTTCGATGATAATTATTTTCGTCTTCATCAGGTCGTTAAAACATTTTAAATCCCTTTTTTTTAAAATACAAATAACAAACCGTTCCAAGCATATTAACGTTTTGGAATAAAGCAACGATATAACATAACATGCTTTATTCCAAAACGTTAATACGCTTGGAACGGTTTGTTATTTGTATTCGAAAAAAGGATTTTAAATGTTTTAACGACCTGATGAAGACAAAAATAATTATCGTCTAAAGCGCTTGTCGATTTAGCGACATTTATTTGTAATTTAATGCTTATATGTTAAAAGTTTCTCCTA